GGATCACTTCTGAGAATAATATTTTAAAATTTTTCCAATAAAATACATAGGATTAAAAAAGAAACCAAGGGGTAGTGAAAATAAAGATGCATTTTTTCTCATCCAAATTCATGGACCTCTTGAAATTTAGCTATGGATTCCATGGAAATCCCTAAACCCCAGGTTAAAAACCTCTGTGTTAAGAAGTTGCCTGGATATTCAGCAATGTTGTGACAAAGTCATGTGAGAGACACAGGTTAGGAACTCCCCTCTCCTTTTGAAAAGAAACATACGAGCTGATTAAGGGAACCACTCATATTTGAAAAGCATATGTGGCCATTCACTAGTTAGGGGTGAAAGAAATATTCAGAAATTAAGATTTTATAAAAGCTAAAAATATCAATAAAACTTTTTTTAAAAGATGAAGATGTTGCTGCTGCCGTTGTTGTTGTTGTTCCCTGGAACACTGATAGGTTAAGTGATTTAGCTAGGGTCACACAGGCAGCCAGTACGTGTCAGTCAGAATTGAACCCCTGCCCTTCTGGCTGTGAGACCAGCCTTCTATATAGTATACCAAGCGTACATCTACAATACTGATGACCTATTTTAAACTCCTATCCCAATAAAAATTCCTGCCACATGCAGCACCTTACTTTACAAAGATTAACTTGTACGACTACATATCAAATGAGCATATAGCATATACAAAAGATTTCTATGGCTTTCAATTACTAACATCTTCCTTTGTACATTACTTAGTAGCATCATATGAGTATACAAAGAAGGAATGCATTACAGTGTTTTGGTTTCATTTGAGAAATATGCTTTCTACATAACAAATAAATTCCTCTCTGGTACTACAACATTTCTAAAGAAGACAAATGGGTCAGATGGGTTCTTCCAGTTATGTTTCTCGTGGTTTGGTACTACTGGGTGCATCCCTTTGACTTCCTACTTTTCCTTAAGTCACCATTTATGTCAACGATGTTCTCAAGAAAAAATTCCATTTAATGATTGTTGTCTATTTAAGTTTGGCACTTATCAAATTGTGTAGTTACTACTGAAAATTATTTTAAATGCATCCTTTAAAAAAATTGTTTTATTGAATACTCCAATAGCAGAATTCAAAAGTTCATTTTAACTCCATTAAGTTCAATTATCTACAGTAAAGATAAGGAGTTGCAGTGCTGATAACACAAAAGTAATTAAGCTTGGGAAGGCATTTCTTATATTCTTACATTTGTACTACATAATAGAAAAAAAGTGCATTTACATTTATATGTGGTTTAAGAATTCACAATACTTTAAACAAAATAACAAAATCCCCTAAAAAAAAAAAAAAGACAAACCAGTTTGCCTCCACCTTTCTGCTCCTTTGCCTGATTCTACCTACCTCCTATTTCATTCATTAACTCAGATGCAAAAGATGCTGGTTCCCAAAGCTTTGCATGGTCCTTTCTGCACACTAGTTAGCTTACATCTTCCTAAGGACAGGAAAAGACATTATTTTCAACTAAAGTTTTCCCTTTCAGTTCCTGCTTGCCTAATATAAGCAAAGGAAAAGGGGGCTGGAGAGAGCTTAATAAAGCAGCACTGCTGTTAACAACAATTAATCAGTGCAAGCAGCAGTGTAAAAACATTTTGAAAATAAACCCTCTCTGAAAGATAAAAGAATTGGCTGAATAGTATTGAAAAGGATACTTCACTCTTATGGGAAAAATCTTTTCTCTTAGGATAAATAAAACAGTGCTCACTAAAAGCAACTTACTATTCATTTTAGCTACAGCGAAAACTGATAGCTTTACTCATCTGCGTAAGCTAGGGATGAGGTTACAGCAAACAGCCTATCTAATTCTATGTTCTATAATCTATACAGTCCATTTTAGCTAAGCAATAATAATTTGTGAAAATACTAGGCAACAGATTATGCTTGACACTGTTTAGTACTGACTTGTTATCAAAGAAAAAAAAAAACAGGAATTAAATCAGAAGCTCCTACCTAAAAGTAAGTAGCCATATCAAACCTCCAATTACCCTCGATAATACAATGCCAGTTCTTCTGGCAGTTTAAACAATTCTCTCCACCAAAGGGTCGATACAAAAGTATAACCACATTGTTCCAACTATCATAATTCAAATAAACCATAATTTATCAAATTTAGTCTTTTTTTAAAGAAATTTTAATCAAGTCATTTATGGATATGAAATGCAAATAAGTAATTTCCAAGTCACCAAATTTCAAAATTTCTATTTTAGATAGGCATGTTCCATAAATTCAAGATTCTATTAAATATAAAAAGTAGTTAAAACTAGGTAACAATATTAAATGTTTCAGATACTTATACTTATTCAAATCAGTCAAAATCTTTTTTTAAAAGTTGTTGAAGGAAATCGCAGGTCCAGTTCCCCAATAAAGCATAATTGTCTAAACAATGGGTGACATAATATTCAATACACATTAAGCACATTCACAACAGGATGAAACTTCGGCTGCTCTCTCACTTCCTGACTACTGTTCTTTACAAACTTTACTACTGAAACTTTTTTATACTTTAGTCCAATTTAAAAATAACTCAGTGAAATAACTGAAATAAAAATGATATAGTTTGGGGGGGTTATTCCAGAAGAAATATTTTATGTTATTGTTTTTATATTTTTTTATTGTTATGAACTCGACAAATATCAATGAACATAATTATTTCTATATATGAATACAAAGAACAGGAAAAATTACATATAAAACCACAAATATCCACTGTGTAATAGCTTTTTTTAAGTATATTATAAACTTAACACTATAGTTCTGAAACCATCTTGCTTATGTCTTTCTGAACTTCCCCCTCTGCTCTTTTCTATGTATTTTTTTTAATGTTTCATAGTTACTCTTTTCCTTCTTTTTTCTGACATCACTATCAATACTCTCTCCTCTCCACCCACCTAAAAAAGCTTACTGATTTTTAACAGTTTCTGAAACTACACTTGGAACAAAGGCTAGAAGAAAAAGGTTGTATATAAAATTCAGTATTCAAATTTATAAAAAGGTTAAAGGGACCCTTGTTTACCACTCTACCTATAAATTTCTGAATAACTATCTAAAATAAGTTTAGTACTTGAAAAAGCAAATTTACAAAAAACATGAGTAATACTTTTATTATTTCTTCCTCTGACAGTGGCCCACCACATGGTAATTACGTTGCTTGATGAATGAAATATGATAATTTTGTTGAACAGGTCCTAATCACCAAACTGTAGCCCAAGGAAGACATCTCTTTAAATTCAGTTAATTTGTGCAAAAAACCCTCTGCTTTGCTGTTAACCTTTGTACCCTGACCACTACCAATCCAAGTTCAAGATCCACGTTTTATGGCAAGTGTAATTTCTGTTAAACCTTGAGATCACTTTGATTTAAGAAGTTATGCTAAAATCTTGTTTCCTCTGGAAGGAAAAAAAATCCCCAATAAATTCTAACTAGATATATTTTATCTATATCACTAAATCACAACAGCTTCAAAAATTTATGTTAAGTTTCAGTGGTATTCCTGACATTAATACTTGTAGGTTAGTACTTAAATATTGCCTCCATAACATGTATTATGAAAACACTAATGGATGTAAAAGTCAGTATATTCTCAGTGGTTGGGCTAATATCAGGAAGAGGACAATTATCAAACTACAAGTTCCCTGAAATCAAAATCACAGCAACAGAAGGCATTTTTACCCTTTTAGGAGTAAACGTCTATTTAGTAACTTACTTCTATTAACTTCTATTATTTTTAGAGCAATGTGAAATGCAGTTTTGGTTTTTTAAAATCCTTAACCTAATCACTTACACAATTACATTATTATTAATGCAAGTTGATTCTTTCATTTATCGAACAGATTTACTTAGATGTTTGCTTTTTTTAGTCATTTAATCAAAATATAAGATTCAATGGAGATCATGCAAGAGTTAAAAAAAAATGAAGCTCTGGCCACTCATGATATGGATGGGAAACTATGGGTGTAGAAAAGTGACTAGGCCTGTAGTCTAGGTAATGTTTGCTAGTTTTGTTCAACTGCATTTTTTTTTCCCTTTTTTGATTTGCTAGAAGGAATGAATGGATAGATGGGTAGTACAGGAATAATATATTCAGAAATGAATGGGATGTAAAAACAAAAGGTACCGATTTTTTTAAAAGATATTCTAAAAAAATATATTTTTAAAGCTATCTTTCTACCAAAAATAAAAGATTACTGTTAGTGTGTTCCCTCTGAATTATATCCCCGGTTTGTCCTGTATATATTTTGTTTGTACATAATTGTGAGCTCCTTGAGGAGGGAATATTTTTGCCCTTTTCAAGTCCCCAGCACTTAAGCACAGCACCTAGCACGTAGTAGGTGCTTAATAATACGTGCTTGTTGCTTTGGTTTGATTCCTGGAGGACATGAATTATCTGCCTACAGAAGAGCAAAGACGTTTTCTTAATAATAATCCAAATGGAATTTATTAAGTGCTTACTAATCAACTCCTAAAGTTTTCATTTTTTTTTCTCCCAAACTCTCCCTGCCTTTTACTGTGAGCGTCAGAGACAGCCCCGGGGGCAGGCACGGCAAGTGGTTCCCGCAGAATGGGCTCCATCTTCATCACCTCCCCACCTTCGCCACCCAGCAGGTTCACAGGCCGGACCCAAGCTACAGAGCGAGCCGACTGTCTTCTGTTCCGGCCCGGCTGCATGCCCCTTCTTTCTCCCCTTTTCCCAGAAGTCGGGGAAAAGGGGAGAAAGAGCCCGGCAGTGACCCCTCGCCTTTCCCCATGGAGACCCTAGCTCCCCCACCACACCCCCTGCAGACGCAGAGGACAATGCTGCTGCTGCCCCGACTCCGGGGCAAAGAGTGGGGGCCCGCGGGGGAGACAGGGAGGCCCGGGCTGCCCCTCCGCAGCCCCCGGCCCACAGCGGCGGGACCGAGACCAGAGCCTCTCCGGCCGGCCGGCCGGCGCACGCAGCTGCCCCTGGTGTGTGGACACTCCCTCCCTCACTCACCTGGACTGGGAGGCAGGTGAGCCGCGGCGGCGGCGGGCGGGGTGTCCCAGAGCGGAGGCGGCCGGGAGAGGGAGAAGAGGAAGAGAAAAAGGAAGGCAGGACTGAGCGGCTGCCCAGCGGGAAGAAGGGCAGGGTGCTGCTGGCGCGGGGCTCCTGGCAGGGACGGCGGCGGCAGCGGCTCCCGGTCCTGCTCCACTTCCTGCTCCCAGTGCAGCTGATCCCCGTCTCCGCCTTCCCCTTCTCTCCCTCCGCCCGCCGCGCCGAGCAGAGTCCGAGGGAGGAACTCGGCTGGGGCTCACGTCACCGACACCGAGAGGAGCCCGAGAAGGCGGAGGCGGGGCCGCCGGCGCCGCGGGCTAGGGGAGGGATGCAGGGCGCGCGCCGCTCCCAGGGAGTGGGGAAGGAAGAGGGGGCGCGCGTCACTCTCAGGGCGTGGAGAGGGAAGGGAGGCGCGCGCGGAAGGGAGGCGGGGAGAGGAGGCGGGCGCGCGCCTCTCGGAGTGTGGGGGAGCTGGCAGCCACCGTGCGCGCCCACGCGGCCACACTCCCTGGCAACCCCTTCAATCTCCCGAGGCTTGCATGTCGGAGTCCTGTCCCGCGGCTCCACACCCCCATCTCTCAACCTCTGTTCTGCCTAGCTCTAGGTCTTGATCCGATAGATAGGCATAAGAGGGCTGCGCGCATGAAGGAGTCGGGGGAGGGAGAGAGGTCGCCCCTCTTTCTTAGCACGGCGCTAGGCAATTGCCACTGGGGAATTTCCTTAGATCACAGATTTAGAGCTGGAAGCGACTGTAGCGGCCATTCAATCCCATCGCCCTCATTTTCCGGATGAAGAAACTGGGGTCCTGGGAGATTAAATGACTTGTCCAGAGTCACGCTAGTGACCTGTCTCCCTTCATGGAAGTAAGTGGCGAAGCCTGAAGTGGAACCCAGGTCTTCATTTAATAGTTTTCGGGGAAAAAAGAGAAACTGACAGGTCCAGTCTGCGTTTTCGGCTGTGTAAAAGCTTCCTCCTAATTTTATTGAGTTTTTAGCATCAAGAAAGCAAGTTGTCTACCAGCTCTAAAACTCTATGTGCTTAAAGAAAGAAGCCAGTGTTTCTGGGAAGGAAACCAAAAATGTTGTGGGAAAGAGAAGGGAGGCTTAAAGTATCCTGTCACAGTAATTAAGTACTGTATATCAGTGCCTTTCAGCAGAACTGACTAGTTTTGGTTTTTTGTTTGGTTTTCTTGTAGCTGGATAGTCAAGCTGAGGGCTATCAATTGAATACGAAGTCTGAGAGAGGCTCTTCCATTTCTCCTGAAAAGAGGTTACTCCTGAAGTTTATTAGTCCTTCCATTGTCTAACTTGTCCAGAACATCTAGAAACACTGCCCCTACGTACACACACACACACACACACACACACACACACACACCCTCACGCACAGATACAATGTATCTGTATTTGAAATACTGCTTTTGTTAGATTTCTATATGAAGCCGGTGACCTGCTTCCAAATTTATTTGTCTCTATAAGAGGCAGAGGGTAGGAATGTTGCATTTCTATTTGTGCTCACGCCCGTCCCCTAAAAAAATGAAAAGAAAAGAAAACTTGAACTTAAAAAAGCATTATCCTACTTTTAGTTTGTCTTCATTTTCCATAACTGATTTATTTGAAAATAATTTTAAAATCTAGAAAGGGCTATTCAGACAGACATTGCTTGATGAGTCTTTTGTCAGAGGTACCATAGCACAATGAAAAGAACAATGAACTTGAAATCAGATTAGGATCTGACTCTTCATTAACTCTATGATCTTGATCAAATCATTCATCTGCTCAGCCTCAGTTGCTTATCTGCAGATTATGATATCTGCATTGCTTCACAGGCTTGTGAGGAGTAAATAATTTGTAGGAAAGTACTTATAGCTTATAAATTACTATATAAATGTAGCTTTTATTATTGTGGTCCTTCTGAAGTAAAAAAATTTCAGTTTGGAGGAAATTAAATGCATCCACGATGCTGAACGTTTTTATGGAAAAAAAAAAAAGAATAAATTCCATTTGAAAATTAGATTAGTTTCCCAATATATCAAAGTAGCCACTTTAAAAGTTCAGAAAATCCATTGTAACCTACAGACATAGCTTTTGCAAAATGAGGAAAGAAGAAAAAAGTCAATGTTACTTCTAATTGCAATCTTCCTGGAATTAGGCAAAAAGCCAAATTCAGACAAGGTACTTTAGAGAGAAACCATGGCAATAAATTATGAAGAATGAATTGGGAGAAGAAGAAAGAGGAAGGGAAACCAAAAAAGGAAACAATTTGCTAGAACCACAGAAATCTAAAGCTAGCTAGACGGAAGTAAATGTTAAATAAAAGTACTAAAAGGAAGAAGTAATGGGGAAAAAATATATTAAAGTACTGTTATGACAGCCCATGCCTTCCCTTTACATTTTGAGTTTAGAATTGTGTATATACCATTTAATTTAAAAGTTTCCTGGAAACCATTAGAAGCTAACACATCTTGAGAAGTATAATATATCGTATGACTAATGATTGCTATGATTGACAGCAAAGGAAAAGAAGGAATACGTCATTTTATATATATATATATATATATATTCATATTCAGTCTCAGTCCCTTTTCTAGTTAAGCATGGTTTCCTAGTTATCTGTTCTTCACTGTAAAAATCCCCCTAAACTTTGTTCTTTTTCTGGTTTGTTTTTTCTTCACAGAAAAACAGAAATACTTCCCCTGTTTCACAAAAAAAAAAAAATAAAAGAAGTAAATTTTCCTCTTCTTTGGAGTATTCTAGTCCTTTCCACAGGTGAAGTATAATATATCATCCAAAGAATCTGAGTTTTCTCTAGCTGTAAACTTCTAAGATCCCTCTGATTCAACTGCTAAGACACATAGCACAAGTATGGCACTTGTATCCACAAAGTCTCAAGTGAACTAGAGAAACGTTTATGGAGCGGCTTGGACAAGAATCACATAAGATGAGAACAGTCAGTAAACATTTATAATGTACCTACTGTGTGCCAGGCACTGTACCAAGTAGTAAGGATACAAAGAAAGTCAAAAGACAATCGTACTTTCAAAGGATTCATGGTCTAATGAGGAGACAATATACAAACAAATATGTACAAATGGGCTATTTACAGGATAAATTAGAGATAATCAAGATAACAAATATTAAAGGGGATTGGGAAAGGCTTCTTGTAGAAGATAGGATTTTAGCAGGTACTCAGAGAAAGCCAGGGAAGTTAAGAGGTAGAAATGAGGAGGGACAGAATTCTAGGCATGGGAAACAGTGAAAAATCAAGAGTCAGTATGTGATGGAATGTCTAGAATGAAGAGAAGCATCCTTGCTATGTTCTTGAAGCACAGAGAGTCCATAGGGGTAAGGTGTAAAAAGATTGGAAAGGGAGGGCAGGATGGAAAAAAGCTCAGAATGCCAAATGGAGGATTTTGTATTTGACCCTAAAGGTGATAAGGAATCATTGGATTTGATTGAGTGGGGGGTGACAGGGTAAGAACTGAACTTTAAGATAATTTTGATAGCTGAGTAAAGGCTCAATCAATTAATAAAAGGCTAAGGTGGGAAGACAATTGTGACTTGGAACATGAGGTGTAGAGGGCCTATAGGGTAGTAGTGGTAGTGTCAGAGGAGAGAAAGGAGCATATGTTAGAGATGCTAAGAAGGTAAAATCAACATGACATAGCAACAGATTAGATATGGGTAGGGGAATGTGCAGAGGAAGGATGCCACGAGGGTTAAGAATTGAAGATGATACCTAGTTTGCAAGCCTGATTGACTGAAAGGATGGCAACATTAATGTCAGTAATAGTATTGACAGTAATAGGGAAGTTTGGAAGAAGGGACAATTTGGGGAAAACAATGATGAGTTCTGATTTGTATATGTTAAGTTTAAGAAACACATTTCAACAAAAAAAAAAGAAAGAAAGAAAAAAGAAAAAAAAAGAACCTGGGGCAGCTAGGTGGCTCAGTGGATAGAGCACCAGCACTGAAGTCAGGAGGACCTGAGTTCAAATCCGGCCTCAGACCAAACACTTGACACTTACTAGCTGTGTGACCCTGGGCAAGTCATTTAACCCCAATGGCCGAAAAAAAAAAACCACATTTCAAGATGTCCAATAGGCAGTTAGAGATGTGAGATTGGAAGTCAGCAGAGAGGTTAGGGCTAGATAAGTAGATCAGAGAATCATCAGCATAAAGATGATAACTGAATCCATGGGACCTGAGGAAATCACTAAGTAAAATAGTGTAGAGGGAGAAGAAAAAGAAGGTCCAGGACAGAGACCTGTGGGGTACCCATATTTAGTGGGAGTAAGTAAGTCAGTAAGGAGCAGTCAGATAGATAGGAGAATCAGGAGAAAGTAGTGTCACAAAAAATCTAGAGAAATGAAAATATCAGAGAGAAGAGGATAATCCATAATGTAAAAGGCAGAAAAGTCAATAAGGATGAGGATGAAGAAAAGGCCAGTAGATTTGGCAATTAAGAAATCATTGGTAACTTTGGAGAGAGAAATTTCGGTGGAATAATTAGGTCAGAAGCCAACTTTCAAAGTTAAGAAGAGAGTGATAAGAAAGAAAGTGGAGGTACCCATCATGGACTACTTTCTTAAGTTTAGTCATAAAAAGATGGAGAAATATGGGACAATAGCTAGTCGGGGTACAAAGATCAAATAAGATTTTTTTGAAGATTGAAGAGAGATGGGCAATTTTGTAGGCAGAAAGGAAGCAGTGAGTAGACCTGAAGAGTCTGAAGATAAGAGAGCAGGCATCTTTAGGGGGCAATCTGCTGAAGAAGATGAGAAGGAATGGGTGTTTGTGGGTTAGGATCCGTAGGGGGACCAATCCTCCAAAAGAGGAATTCTTTTATTAATCCCATGGGTAATCTACTATACTGTAATTATCCCTAGAAGAAGAAAAACAAAGCACAAGAAAAAAAGCTGATAGTAAGGATTTCATTTTAAAAAAAAAAAAACTTGTAGAACTTGGAGGTACTTTCTACATCTACAATGCTGTATTGTGATTATTGGAAATCAGTCATTTGCAAGTTCCTCAATCATTAACAAATATATCCATTATTCTGTACTTACTATGTCAAATTTACTGACTTAGCAAAATTTTCAATAACAAAAATGAAATTAAAATAAGGTTTCTAGTGAAGT